GCTTGAAATGCCCCAATAAAAACTGCAAATAGAGGAGATTTAAGTAAAAAGATAACCCAATTCCACCAAGAGGAATGCCTTGAGAGATGTTAGTAACGCTTAGAAATGGATTGATAAAAACCCGCTGCAAATGAAACCACAAGGAAGCACATGCCGCAAAAGGTTTAGAAATTGTGATCAGATCAATTCTTCAAAGCTGTGATACACACGGTAAAGTGACTTTAAAGATATAAGAAAGTTACCTTTCCTTTGGCACCTCTTCTCGAATAAGCTGCAGAATCCGAATACCTATGGGGGCCTATCCAAACCAACAAACAGTGTTTAGACATTAAGACAAATGAGGGAGACAAAGATTTGTCATTATTAACATCTTAGCAAATGACTTAAGTTCTCAACTGTCTGCATTAATCGTACTATTGAAAAGCCAGCTTGTGACTAATTCATTTGTGCATTGAGCATAGAGAGCTGTGGATCATGAGTTCTAATTAAGCAATCCTGCTATAATCTCCATCATTAAAAGCTTTTGATATCTAATTAAGTAACATACCAGTGAATTATCTCCTTCCAGTCATTGAAAACGACGAAAGGGTGATCTCATCGCTATTTAGTTTTCTCTTCCGGTAAGAGATGGAGGTTTCGCTGGGTTGACCTGAATGCAGACATATAGCATATTTTATAGAGGATTGGAAGACTTATCTCTCTTTCATTAGAAATAAGAGAAAACAAATATGGGTTTTCTACGCTAAAGTCATTACCTTATAACGATGAATCTGATGCTCTTTCTCTCCTCCATGAAAGCCATTTTCCACAATCTTTTCCTCAGACATCTGTCCTGTTAAACAAATGAAGATAAATCAAAAGAAGAAAAACAGAATACAAATAACTGAATCCCAACTTCGCAAAACAAAAACCAGCACTTTACACAAAGATCTAATCTTCTGCAATAGAGTAGTCCGATAAGAAGAACATTAACTCTTACATCCTATAGAACATTCAAAGTTTCGATTCCAAAGTCTCTGCTAAATCAAACAATAAAAGTACTATGACCAAAACCTTCCTTCCCTCGAATCCTCCAAATTCCATGAAACTCAACTTAACCATCCTTAATTACTTAATGGGGTCAATTCCAACTCAATTTTTCAACAAAACTGAACTGAAAAACTCTACAGATGCAATGAAACAAAAGAGGTACATAAATCATCACCTCTTCAAACCCAAAAAAATTAAACAAAAATAAAAATTACACACTTTCATAGCGCTAATATCACAAAACTCACTCCTTTCTCATCAAACAAACACACATACATAATAAAATGGGGTCAATTTCAATACAATTGTTCAACAAAACTGAAATCAACATTCAACATACGCCAATAAAACAAAAACAAAAAATCAACACCACTTCAAAACCAAGAAAATCTAAAAATTTCGAAGACCTAATCTTCTGCTGTAGAGTAGTCCAATAACAAAAACATTAACTCATACATCCTATAAAAATTCAAGGTTCCAATTCTGAAGTCTCTACTAAATCAAACAATAGAAGTATTGAGATCAAAACTCCCCTTCCCTCGAATTCTCCGAATTCCATGAAACTCAACTTAACCATCCTTGATTACATTATAATGAGGTCAACTCCAATCCAAATTAACTCAAAAACTCTACACAAATCATCACCACTTCAAACCAAAATAAAAAATAAAAAATAAACAAAAATCAAAACTCCACACTTTCACTGCACTAATATCACAAAACTCACTCATTTCTCATCAACCAAACACACGTACATGAAATGGGGTCAATTTCAATACAATTGTTCAACAAAACTGAACTCAACATTCCACAGATGCCAATAAAACAAAAGCAACAAATCACCACCACTTCAAAACCAAGAAAATAAAAAAAAAAATTCCCACGTTCATAGAACTAATATCACAATTCACAAAGCTTACTCATTTCTCATCAACAAAACACACATGAATGCATGCATGAACAAGCACACATACATGCATAATGTACAAAGCCATTAAGAGCTTCAAACTCTTTCGACCCATTTGAGGAATCCATGAGCAAATCTCAAAAACAATCCGAACTTGAAGAAAAACTCATTGCATTCAAATGGGGTTTCAATACGTTGACTAAAAATAAATTAAAGGGAAGAGCTTGAAGCAATCAAAATCTGTCAAAAGCATCAGAACCAGAAAGAAAATGAAGGAACCGTAGAAACACTAACCTGAGAGGAAGAACTGGAAGATTTACAGTTATGTTTGAAAGCAAAAATGGTGGAGAGTTTGAAGAGAGAAAAACTTATGTTCTGTCTGAAACATTACAGTTACAGATCTTTATATAGAATTATAACGACCCGACATTAGGAAATTAAATAAAATATAATATCATAATTCGATGCTTGATTAGATAGATTTAAAATGTAATAAATACTCCATAGACCCCAAAAGTTTGTTTTAGTGTTTTGGCCCCACCAAATTTCATGAGGGACCCCATTTGAATAANAGTACAATACTTAATTAAATGATTAGAAATTAAATTAATTATAACTAAATAATTGCTGAATTAATAATAACATTACATTATAATATAATCACTTAATTAATTATAACATTAAATAGTTAAATGATTACTTAATTAATTATAATATTTCATTATAAACATTAGTACAATACTTAATTAAATGATTAGAAATTTAATTAATTATAATATTAAATTATAGATTTATAGTATGATTGTTTAATTAGTTATTTATATTTTAGTTTTGATTGAGGAATTTTATGCGAATTGTGATGAATCGATTGAATTCAAGTGTTGTCTAGATATTAGAGGATTTATGAGTCACATTGAACACAAATTAATGAGTAATCAAAATTTGTTAGGAGTGTATTTATAAACTTTTAAGGCATTTTTGTCATTTTTTAAACTAATAGGGAGGTAATTGATTTTTTATAGGGTACCAGGGGAAGGAATCGAAACCTGCATTTTAGGTTCTGGTTCCTTGAATTTAAGAACCTACACTGCATTATGCGGTTCTGGTTCCAGTTCCTTTTTTTTTTGGGAACCTACATTGTGCAGTTCTGATTTTAGTTCCGGTTCCGGTTCCTTTTTTTGGGAACCTCCACTGTGCGGTTTCGGTTCTGGTTTCCTTGAAAAATGTAGGGTACTCGGAACTGATCACCCCTAATTTTGAGTGTGAATAAGAACCAAACTAGAAACTCTTTTATTATAATATAAATTAAAAACTTGCACCCTTTTTTTTTTCTTTTTTTTTTTTTTTTTTTTGGGTCTTTACACACTATTAAGAAGGAAGTGCAAGAGTGAAAGAGAAAATGTTGTTAACATTCCTTAACATACGACAAGGAACATGAAGGATAATTTTAAAATTTTACTAAAAGTAGGGAAGATCACTAAAATTAACAAATTAACAAAAACAATAGGGACTAACTTGATAATTAACTCCATTTTCCCGGGAGCCAAACAAAACAAAACCCAAACCACCACACATTCCGGAACTAGAATGAGAATTTCTTTAAATCCCAACTTTAAATACATTAAAAAAACTATTAGCACTAAATGAGAATGAATATTTTCTTCGTTAATGATTTATTTTGATGTGATGGTTTAAAACTCATCATTTCCATTCAATTTTTTTTTTTTTTTAATGATCGAGAGTATCCATAACAGTTTACGTGTAACTCGACTAATCCTCCGGGTCTTAAAGTTAAGGATCAACTAAAATCCCAGTTTCTAATGGCCCGGGGCCTGAAGTTAAGGATCGAGTTCGACTAAACTCTTGGTTGCTAATCTTTTCTTTAAATCCCAACTTTAAAAACATTAGAAAAAACTATTAAGACTGAATGAGAATGAATATTTGTTCGTTAATGGTTTATTTTGATGTGATGGTTTAAAACTCATCATTTTCATTTTTTTTTTTTTTTTTTTTTGGTGATCGAGAGTGTCCGGGTCAACTTGCCCGCAACTCGTTTAATCCCCTAAGGCATGAAGTTAAGGATCGACTAAACTCTTAGTTGCTAATCTCCCAAGGCTTGAAGTTAAAGATCAAGTTCGACTAAACTCTCAATTGCTAATCTCCCGTGGCCTAAAGTTAAGAATCAAGTAAACTCTCGGTGACTATCCATATTAGCAATCGAGGGAATCGAACTTAAGACCTCTTGAGTAATACACCCAAAAATCCTATTGGCCACCTGACCACCCAAGGGTGATTATTTCCATTCAATTTTTTATTACATAACTAATAATTGTATAATTTCATTGTTGGTAGACTTAATGATATTAATTCTTTTAAGATATGATATAATAATAAAAACTCCTCTTAGATTTTTAAAATAACATAAATCCTTCCGATGAATTATTAGGAAACTATTAAAATTTATACTATGGATATTAAAAGGTTACTAGAATCTTATATTACTTAACAACTTATATTACTTAACAATCAAATATAATAATGCCGGTACTGGAGTAATGGGAGATAACACCCCGCCAAACAGCCCCTCGGTACTCTTCGTACCCTCTCTCACCCAAGGAGCAAAATAATAATAAAAAATATAATCTATTAGACATTATAATTACCAGAGTTCTGTCCAACAAATTTTAATTAATTTACAAAACAAATGCCGCAATTAAATCTATACAGGTTTGAAACTGATTTAGATATGAAAAACAACGACTCAGCTTATTTAAAAACCTATTAACTAAGATATAAGATAGTATCCTTTTACAAGATAAAAGGGATGTTATTCAGTTCCATTTACAGAACATACTGCTTCATATAGTAAATTTATTTATTAACTAATGTGGTGAAAATCATGAAAATACTCATATTATCAACTCATGTTAAGAGGCATGTTGAGAGAGTGATTAAACAATCGTACATACATCTGTTCCATTAAGGAATTTCTATTATGACAATTGCAAAGGAAACAATGATATTCACTAAAGGTGAATTTTGAAAAGAGTCACAAGAATTGGAAAACTAATAGTAGAACAATATAGTTTACATAAAAATTTCATATTGTTAGCGCACTATAGTATGCCCCAATATTTCTTTTCTTTCTGTGATGAATTTTCTTATTGTACACAAAAATGGATGACAGTAATAAGTTACAGGAACCAATCGATTATGGAAACATCCTCTTGCAAGTGTAATCAAAGAGTGATTGTAAAAGACTTTTACGCACTTTCTCATCCGGTACCTTTAGAAGGCGAGCAACTTTACAGAATCCGGCATGATACCTATACAAAGATTCTTCGTTTACTTCTGGTTTCATCTCATTGTTAGAAGGTTTTGGCCTTGTTAGAGCCCATTGCATTGCCCATATGGCCAATGGACGCATGTAACATAGCGCTCTGAATCCACCATCGGTGGTCCAAGCTTCTGGAGTTTGGAAAGAATAGCTATGAACAAAATAGCCGTTTGTCAGTGGTTTTGGAATAAATAGTACTAGAGCTGATAATTATTAATGTAAACTATGCAGAAGTTTAAATAGTACTAGAGCTGATAATTATTTCTTCTACTGATGGTTCAACAGCACATCCACAGACTTAGGTAAGCAATGAATTTTAATCAACAAACATGCTTTCAATTTCAAGTAACAATGTTTTTATAAGATAAAGGGGATCTTACCCAAGTCCATTTTCAGACCATGTTGCTTCATAGATTCCACTAGCAGTTTGAAATCCGATATCGACCAAATCTTCATGGATCATCGTTGCAGCAACAGCATATGTGACACCGGACCATATTTCTCTTGACTGCAATGTTGTCATGTCAACTGTTCCATCAGGTAGCATCCCATTTACCGCTCCCCGCTTTCCATCCATAATCTTCAAGACATTATAGTTAAAAACCTTTTCTAATGCACTTCTCGCTTTGTCTTCATCAACAATCGGTGAAAGACCACATGCTCGGGCATACCTACAACAGAGACACATATATATGCATCTTTAGTGAAAATGCAATCAGATCAATTGCTTTTTATATTGAAGTTTAAAAATTTTTCATAAGTTTTCGGAGTATTTGATATTTAAGAATATCAATACATAAAAGTTATATCTGTTGCAACATACCATTGTCCAGCCAATTGATCAGCTTGAATAGATGAACTTGAGCAGCTACCACTATTGTCATAATTGAAGTAAGACCCATTCCACAATTTCTCATATACAACTTTTGCTTTCTGAAATTTCCACCAGAAATAATCCTCAGAACCCTTGTCACCAACTTCATGTGCCAATGCTGATGTGGCCTGCAATGCTGCCACCCATAGGCCTCCACTGTATGCACTCACACCAGAGACAGACCATGTATCATACGTCTGATCTGGGAAGCCATCATTCTCAATCATCCCATCACCATCCTTATCAAATTGGTCCATATATGCCATCGCAACATAAACTGAGGGCCAAACAGCTTGTGCAAACTTCTTGTCCCCTGTGGCAACCACATCCCTGTAAACTTGGAGAACAAATTTTGGATTCAAGTCTTTCCATCGACACGTGTCATAAAGACAGTAGCCATTTACTTCAAACCAGGGGTCATCAATTCCAATATCATGGGGAACAGCTCCAAGGACCTTTCTGGGGACCCATTGTCCATCATGTATAAGTTTCATCTTACTGGGATCATGCATCATTACTGCTGCTGCAAAGTCTCTTTGGACACTGAGTTCAAGTTTAGGAAATAGCATGATCAATGAAAAAGATGAGTAGAAATGAACATCATAGGTGTTCCACATGGGATATTCAATTCCTTCAAGATAAAGGAATTGGCCAATGTTTTCTTCACCATCTTCAAGTAAATTTGTTCCGAAAGCAGAACTGAGTGCGACTGGAGTGTGTAATAGCTCAAAAATTGAAGTCATCTTCTCAAGAATGTTTACGGCAGTATCATTATGATTGGGTACGTCAACATTTTTCTTCAAATCTGATTGTGACCTATCTAGGGAAAACTTCCTATCACCAATGTGTATTAAACTATGAACAGGAGGTGAGCCATCTGCAAAAAGAAAAAATGTAGAGTGAATACATAATCATTAAGATGAGCCAGCATTCAATATAGTTATATAGTAGACTCCAAATACCAGTCCAAATGGTGCCCCCTGAATTTAGGTAATAGAGCTCATTAAATAGAGTGATAGGGTACCTGCAAAGAACATTCAGAAAAAACTTTAGAATCTTACAGTATGATAAACGACAAATAACACATCCTAGCTTACCATTCAGGAAGCCTCTTGTCTTCAAGAATAGGTCTTTGCCATGCTTCTATCTGTGATTCCCAATTTCCATGCTCTAAGTTTAAGAAAAATGAGTTAAAGGTTCTTAACAATTGAAAATGTTTTTGTGTGCCTGCTAAGTACTAAAATGGGAGCATAACAGCCAAATTTAGAACTAATGTGTTACATGATATGCAATCTCGCTTCCTAATTTGCATACTTCAAAGTAAAAAGAAACTGCTAATTGGTAAAATGTAACTTGAAACATTACCAAGAATAGCATCATGGCTATACTTGCAGCTGCATCTCCATGAGTACCATAGATTTTCGTGTAACGCCTGTAGATAGACTTTTCAGAAGGTGGATAATATTAAATTCTGATATTTTTCAAGAATATCCACCAACTTACCGATAATATGTCTTTCCACTAAAAAATCTCACTTCTGGGCAATCCCATGCCAATGAAAATGTAACATTGCGCACTGCACCCGGTGGGACTTTCACAGAAGCCAATAGCTGCCCCAATAGATGATCCCTGCTCTGAGGCTTTGATGTTTCAGTAGAATTAAGGCGATCGAAGGATCCATGCTATTACATAGGAGAATATATGTTATTAGATAAGGATATCAGTTACAGCAAAATTCTTCCTCTTGATGCACTAGTATTATCGGAATAAGTCACCCCACCTCTTTTATTTCATGCCACATATCTTTTGCTGTTAAACCCTGGGAGTTTCCAGTATCACAAAACAAGGCACTCTGAGACATGGACATCACGTCTCTTGTGCCGCAATTGCGAAGTTAATGGGGATTGGCCATCTGCACTCCTGTATTTGTAGATAACATATGCTATTTAAAGGAAACAAGAATCATAGTGACTAAGATTTTCAAACTAAGTCTTGAATTCTTTTTTCTGTTTATATCAAGGAAAGGAGCCTTACATGTGATGTAGAACACTCCACGCACACCATCCTCCATCCTATCAGGATTGATGATCTTGTCTTTCGTATAACCATAGGCATGACACAGCACTATATGTAGTTTGAAAATCTTAGAGAAATAAAGTTAAAGATTCATACTTTTTTGTGAGTTGTAGTGTTGACCAGTAAATTCAGAAGCTCCTCCAACAGATTCTGCATACAAATACAAGTCAAACTCTTGCCAAAAATCGATATAATATAATCTCACTTGCGCATACAAGGATAAATCTAACAAAGACACATAGATCAAACAATAAGATGCAACATAAAATGATCAAGGGATGAATACACAAACAAAAGACTTACTGTCCATGTGAAAAGCAAGGTGACGTCTGCAGAAGTCTTTCCGGAATTATTAGCTGAATAAATGCAGAATCAACAGGTTACTAAGGAAATCTGTATCATATGTCCAACAAACTAAATTTTAACAGAGTACTACTACCGTGAAGGTAAAAACTGATACAGGGAAGCTGCTCTCTTTGTAATTTGGGGTATAATAGGAGAAATTTGGCGAGAACAATTGTAGTTCGGGGTCAGGTTCACCTGCATTTACAGAAATAGAATGGTTTCAACTTTCAATGTCATGATGGCCTTAACAATTCAGAAATATCTATTTCTCAATGTTAGATTACCCTCATATACAGTCCAAGCCCTTGGATACAAAGCGTGATATGTCGAATTATTCCCCTTCAGATTCCAGTCCCAGATCCAATCCCCGAACCATTGTTGTATCCCTGTTCATGCACATGAAATCAGTTTAGTTGTTTTTTTTTTTTTCATATAGCTTCTTTTCTGTCAAATGTGTTGCATGGAGAAAAAACTGTCCCCTGGAATATTAAAAAAAAATAAATAATTTTATTGAGAACAAAAATAACTGCAGTGAAATGCTGGCTTACTTGAGCACCTCTGAGGTCCTTCGCACAGTACAGTAGAACGTTTTTCACCATTTGAGCGTGAAACAAAAACCTGCAAGTGGTGTCGCATTCATGGTAAAAAAGTATAAGATTATTTCACAAAAGCCATCACAAAGAATTTTGCCTAAAAATTGAGGGTTGTCCACCCAAATTCAGTAACTTTCATGAAAGGAAACAAGGTAAAGTTGTGAGTCAGAATAAGGCCATGAAAGAAGGGAAACAATAAGGAGGAAGTGAAAAGAAACTTCAAGAATCCAATTAAGGCCGTCTAGAGTCTTGTGGGAACTTTATCGGTGGCTGACACTACAAGTAAGTGAATTTTGAAAACAACTTTTATAAGCCAATGACTAATTTTCGTCTTCATTCTCTTGTTACAGACTTACGAAAATTGATTTGCTGGAATCTGTTTATCTTCACAAATTCGAGGGAACATTTGAAAGCGCTGAAATCCACCTCTGTAACTAGTTCCAATGCTGCCTCCACTGAAAGTTTGTTTCATTCTCAAAACAGAAAAAGAGAAAAGGAATATTAGAGGAGGAACAAAATAAACAAGATAGTTCAACAACTGATACAAAACAAACAAGCTACAGCTTTAAAAATCGGCTTTATATTATTTACACACAGGACATGTTGCAATATAAAAGCTAGTAAAAAAACAATATTGTTTGATTGGTAATTTTATAGCTCTAAATATAAATTAATAGTAGATTACATGCTGAAATTTATTCAACACTCAAAATACACATCTAACATAACTACCTAAAAAAAAAAAATAGAATATTTTCTAATGCTATGCAATGTGGTAAAGATATATATATAGATGTAGAAAGGCTATTCATTATAAATATCAAATTAATAAACAACAGAAATATTTGATTTCTTATGCTGTAAATGCCCCAATAAAAACTGCAAATAGAGGAGATTTAAGTAGAAAAGATTACCCATTCCACCAAGAGGAATGCCTTGAGAAGATGTTAGTAAGCGCTTAAGAAATGGATTGATAAAAACCCGCTGCAAATGAAACCACAAGGAAGCCACTGCCGCATAAAGGTTTAGAAATTGTGCAGATCATATTCTTCAAAGCTGTGATACACACGGTAAAGTAGACTTTAAAGATATAAGAAAGTTACCTTTCCTTTGGCAGCCTCTTCTCGAATAAGCTGCAGAATCCGAATACCTATGGGGGCCTATCCAAACCAAACAACAGTGTTTAAGACATTAAGACAAATGAGGGAGACAAAGATTTGTCATTATTAACATCTTAGCAAATGACTTAAGTTCTCAACTGTCATGCATTAATCGTACTATTGAAAAGCCAGCTTGTGACTATTCATTTGTGCATTGAGCATAGAGAAGCATGTGGATCATGAGTTCTAATTAAGCAATACCTGCTATAATCTCCATCATTAAGCTTTTGATATCTAATTAAGTAACATACCAAGTGAATTATCTCCTTCCAATTCATTGAAAACGCGAAAGGGTGATCTCTCGCTATTTAGTTTTCTCTTCCAGGTAAGAGATGGAGGTTTCGCTGGGTTGACCTGAATGCGACATATAGCTAATTTTTATAGAGAGATTGAGAAGAACTTATCTCTCTTTCATTAGAAATAAAGAGAAAACAAATATGGGTTTTCACGCAAAGTCATTACCTATCAAACGATGAATCTGATTGCTCTTTCTCCCTCCATGAAAGCATTTTCCACAATCTTTTCCTCAGACATCTGTCCTGTTAACACATGAATAAAATCAAAAGAAAAAAAACAGAATACAAATAACTGAATCCCAACTTCGCAAACAAAAAACCAGCACTTTACACAAAGATCTAATCTTCTGCAATAGAGTAGTCCGATAAGAAGAACATTAACTCTTACATCCTATAGACATTCAAAGTTTCGATCAAAGTCTCTGCTAAATCAAACAATAAAAGTACTATGACCAAACCTTCCTTCCCTCGAATCCTCCAAATTCCATAAACTCAACTTAACCATCCTTAATTACATTAAATGGGTCAATTCCAACTCATTTTTCAACAAAACTGAACTGAAAAACTCTACAGATGCAATGAAACAAAGAGGTACATAAATCATCACCTCTTCAAACCCAAAAAAATTAAACAAATAAAATTACACACTTCATAGCGCTAATATCACAAACTCACTCCTTTCTCATCAACAAACACACATACATAATAAAATGGGGTCATTTCAATACATTGTTCAACAAAACTGAAATCAACATTCAACAACGCCAATAACAAAAACAAAAAATCAACACCACTTCAAAACCAAGAAATCTAAAAATTTCGAAGACCTAATCTTCTGCTGTAGAGTGTCCAAAACAAAAACATTAACTCATACATCCTATAAAAATTCAAGGTTCCAATTCTGAAGTCTCTACTAAATCAAACAATAAAGTATTGAGATCAAAACTCCCCTTCCCTCGAATTCTCCGAATTCCATGAACTCAACTTAACCCCTTGATTACATTAAATGAGGTCAACTCCAATCCAAATTAACTCAAAAACTCTACACAAATCATCACCACTTCAAACCAAAATAAAAAATAAAAAAAACAAAATCAAAACTCCACACTTTCACTGCACTAATATCACAAAACTCACTCATTTCTCATCAACCAAACACCACTACATGAATGGGGTCAATTTCAATACATTTGTTCAACAAAACTGAACTCAACATTCCACAGATGCCAATAAACAAAAGCAACAAATCACCACCACTTCAAAACCAAGAAAATAAAAAAAAATTCCCACGTTCATAGAACTAATATCACAATTCACAAAGCTTACTCATTTCTCATCAACAAAACACACATGAATGCATGCATGAACAACACACATACATGCATATGTACAAAGCCATTAAGAGCTTCAAACTCTTTCGACCCATTTGAGGATCCATGAGCAAATCTCAAAAACAATCCGAACTTGAAGAAAATCTCATTGCATTCAAATGGGGTTTCAATACGTTGACTAAAAAAAATTAAAGGGAAAGCTTGAAGCAACCAAAATCTGTCAAAAGCATCAGAACAGAAAAAAAATGAAGGAGCCGTAGAAACACTAACCTGAAGAAGAACGTGAAGATTTACAGTTATGTTTGAAAGCAAAATGTGGAGATTTTGAAGAGAGAAAAACTTATGTTCTGTCTGAAACATTACAGTTACATCTTTATATAGAATTATAACGACCCCATTAAAATTAATATATAATATCTAATTCGATGCTTGATTAGATAGATTTAAAATGTATAATACTCCATAGACCCCAAAAGTTTGTTTTAGTGTTTTGGCCCCACCAAATTCATGAGGGACCCCATTTGAATAACTTTTTTTTTAATATAATATTTTTAAACATTATATTGCACTCACAAATTTGATGTTATAAAACTTTTTACATGTTTTTTTTTTTTTTTTTTTTTTTAATCATCAGGAGTTATGAAAATTGGGGTGTTTTGAATTTTAGGGAAAAATTGGAATGAAATGGAAATGGGGTATGTTCAAAGATTAGAAATAATTTAAACTTTTTTATAAGTGGGTTTTATTAAATAAACGTGCGGGTTAAATACATCACTTTCATAAAAATATATGTATTTATATATGTTGAGTCTCACACCGACTAGACACGCTTAACCTATTAGTTATAAGAGAAGGTAATCCTCTCATTCAACAAGGTCTTATGGGTGACGAGTTAAGCCAATCTCAAATCTATCATAGTATCAGAGCCCAGATTCAGTTGAGCTAAATGCTTGACTAGCGGGTGAGAGTTAGGCCCACCTCATTTTTCAAGAAGTTGGACAGTTTGAAATTTTAATTCATTGTGTAATTTGTTTTCTTCTTTAAGTAATTATATTTCATGTTCTTCAAAACATGATTGAAGATTTCTTGTTTGTCCTTAAGTGTAATAGCAACTCATCATTAAGTGTCCTTAAAATAAATTGATGATTTGAAGTTTTGAACTTGTGTTTTATTTTTGTGGTTTTGTGAATATATTTTACCTTAATTATATTTCCAAAAAAATATTGAAAATTTTGTGTCATAAATACGCAAGTTTTTTTATGTACCATCTATGAATACACGATTCAATAAATCATAAATTTATTCTTTAAAGTATATAAACTTAATTTTAAGATTGATTTTGTTGTAGAGTTAATCACTAATATATATTGAATCATAGGGTGTATGTGCTACTTTGAAACTAAATGGAATAATTTTGATAAATTAAAGAACCCAGAGGGTTTAAATATTTTTCTATCTTAAAAGGGGAATCAGCTTTTTAATTAATTAATTTTTTATTTAACGTGACCCAACTTGTATATTTTATAATCCTTTACTCAACATGAAAAAATAATAAAAAAATGAACTCATTTTCTAATTATTACTTTTAAGATATTGTTCCCCTCTTATAAATAAGCATAAAACTGACACAAAGCAAGAGCAAATAAAGAACAAAATTCTAAAATTAAAAAAAAAAATTATTTTAGTTTTAAATTATTATTTTTTCTTGGAAACAAATTCTAAAAATTAAAAAATTATTATTTTATTTTATTTTTAAATTATTATTTATTTTTTGGAATCTAATTTTTAGTGTTGTTGAAAAGTGCTTTTCAACTTATTGTCATTTATGATGAGTGGCAGACAGTGACTCATGCTGTCGAATAAATATCTTCGGTATGAGTAATAAATAATTATTATAATAAATTTCGAAATTCTTAAAATAATATAATTTTCTTTTATATTTTAAATCTGAACTCCTTTTATGGGTTATAAATTAATTTACGGTCTTTTATTTAAAAAAAAATTATTAAATTATAAGAAATATGGTAAGACAATGGTCTTTGATCTGGATATGATAATTTATTAAATTAATTATAGAATTCTAATTAAACGGCAATTAAGGAACATTGAGCATATAATAATCAAATGTGGAATCTTTGTTTTGCCCAAAAGGCTAGTAGTGAATATATACCTCTTTGTCTTAACTTAAATATTTTATTTATTATTATACAAATAGAGAAAATAGATTTATTGATATAAAAAAATATATCATATAAGACTTCTAATGCCGAATTAGGATCAAATATGACAAAAATTTTGATGATCAAGATGCTACAACATCCGATTCTATAAAACTTGACTGCGAAAATTATTATCAATTATTATTTTTTCTAATTTTAAATTACAATTTCACCATCATTGTTGATGAGAAGATAAAAATCATACATAAATCCAAAGATAATCACAACAAATATATCAAACATTAATTAATGGTTCAAAAAGATAAGTTAGGACCGATTTTATTATAAATGCTGTCGGGTAAAACCTATGGAATTGCCCAAAATATAAACAAGAATAAAGATAAGTTGACAAACATTTCTCATAACTTTCTCTCACAAGCACTGATGTGGTAGTTCATAATTTGTCAGTTCACATTTGGTCATGCGAGACTCATTGTTGAGATGAGACATATTACGAGTTGATACGTCGCGTTTGTGAGAAAAAGTTAGTGAGAATGATTTTTGAGTGTAGTATTATTGTATAACCAATAGGGCTTTTGGGTTCGGTGTGGACCGTGTGGTGGGTTAAGGTTTTTTTCCGTTTGTATAAGCCTTGCATTTTTATTTTATTTTTTATGGCTAGGGTGTTTGAGTCAACTTATACACACATCAATTAATCCTTCGAGATCTTGAAACTACAGGTCAGGTAAGAGTTTTTTTTTTATTTTTTTTTTTTTATGACTGGGTTTGGGTCAGCTTATACGCATCTCAACTAATCCCTCAAGATTTTGGCACTACCAGCCAGATAAGAGCTCCAGTGACTATCCCTATTAGCAACCAATGAAGGACTTGAATTTAGGATATCTTGAGTAACACACTGAAGAGTCTCTATCAAACTACTCGGTCACCTAGAGATAGTTATAATACCTTACTTTACTTTTCTATAATCAAAAAGTAATATTTGAGTCAAACATTGTTAATGCTATAACAATAATAATTAAAGAAATTCCCTTCACCTAATTATTCTTAATAAAAAATAACAAAAACAAAAATACTCGTAATATGCTAGACTTGATAGTCTAGCATGGTCTATCATGTTTTAATTAGACTATCAAACTATATCGTTAAATGTTAGACTTGATCTAAACTATGGAGTCTAGCAAAGTCTAAAGCTATATATTAGTAATATCGTATTTATTATTTTATGAAACGTATAATTAGTAAGTTATTGAATTTTATGGTTGTATTTTAAATAAAACCTATACATTTTGGGAAATTATGATTATTGAGTTGACTATATATATCCGAACCTCATAATAATTTGTATTTAAATATTTTGTACATCTCTCATAAAATTTGACGAGTTTTAAGATAATTAAATAATTTTAAATTAAAGATAAATTAAATAAATAAAGAAGTTATATCTCGAATATGTAAGAATATCACATCAACTTGTAGAGATTAGTTTGTATTAGTATCTAGCGATATTCATAATAGTTACCTCTTCGGTACACACTCGTTGTGTTTTTTTTTTTTTTTTTTTAAAAGAGACCTATAACTTTTCATAGTAAAAAGAGTAGTCTTTGAGGCAAACATGATTAATAATATAGTAACCATTGGATAAATTTAAATAGTCATTCTCTCGTACAAAAGTTCTCCGTCATACCTTCTATAACGTTGAGTTTTAATTTTTTGTAAAAATACCATTTTGCCCTCACTTTTATTGAAAGACAGAAAAGTTTTTTCTTTGAACTAGTGAATTTTAATTTAATTAAAATATTATTAAGTTTAGTTAACAACAACGGGTTAAGAGTAACTAGTGTTTGGTTAATTTTAATTAGGGTGGATTAAATTTACTTATGTTTGGTTAATTTTGAAATGACCATAATGCCTTGAAACTATGAAAATAATTTAATAGTATTAGTGATGAGGAATATTTTGCGATGATTTCAAATTTCCCAAAAAAATAATATAAA